TCCCTTTTTTCTGACTCACGCCGCGTTTTCCCGACTCACGCCTCTTTTTCCTGACTCACGCTTTTTCTTTTTCCCGACTCACGCCTCAACCGCTATCCCACTTACCTGAAAGATTTGCAGCTGAAGCTTCCGAGTTGTACCTTACTACGGAGAGCTTTTGTGACGGTCTTTGGTGATGTGGGACCATTTGAGGGTTACAAACTGCTACCGCCTGCAGGATGAAATTAGATTGGGTACTGCGCAGTGTTAACTTGTCCATACCTCCCTAGAAGCCCAGTTACCTATATATTGGATTCCTGTCCTTAAGCCCCTATATGATTTTATACTATCTGTAACCCAAGGACCTACTATATGGGTACCTGGGCTTCTAGGGCTTGGTTTCGAAGGCAGTTTGATACGAACTTCCCGTCTCGTGCCCCAAAGAAGATGGATTCTCGGACCCCTTGTGTCATAGCGTGCATCAGTACAGAAAGCTTGCCTGCCCCCCATCCCCCCCAAGATTCTCAGTATTAACGCCGTTTTATGTGCTTTGTCCATCCAGGCTGTGCCCCTGATGTTTGAACTTCCATGTGCTGAGTTTCACCTAGCAAGCTAGACATGCTTTAGTTGGACACCCCACCCAGTAATAGTAACTATAAGATACTAGGGATCATATTAGGGTCCTCTTATGTTCTTATTATACCACGATTACAGGGTGGGGGGGGTCCTCTTAAGACATGCTTGTCAAAATTATGGTCCCTTTTTGGGTCCCTATGATGATACGGCACCTAAAATTTAGGGTACCCAAAGGTGATCATACTTTTGACAACGACCCACATGCTTCTTGCTGAAGGTGGTGAAGCTTTGGGACGTGGAGCGCAAGTCTTGCCTGCAGACCTTCAACGAAAGCGGCTGTGCTCTAATGGGTTTAGGGTTCAGGGTTTAGGGGCACATGGGTGGTTGTCAAAATGGTAGCTTCCCAAAAGTTAGGGGTACCATTTGGGGGGTCCCATAATAAGGACTATAGTGTGTTGGGGTCTATATTGGGGTTCCCTTGTTTAGGGAAATTGCCAAAGTAAAGTAGGGTCCCTGTTTGGGTACCCTAAATCTTCGGTGCCGTGCTAGAATAGGGATCCAAACAGCGATCATAATTTTGATAACCACGCACATGATGCCCAGGATTTCGGCTTTGGGGAGGTAGGGTTTTGGGTTTGTAGGGTTTAAGTCTTAGGGTTCAGGGTTCAGTTAGGGTCCTTGTAATGTACCCCATTTAGGGTTTAGGGTTTAGGGCTGGTGGTTTAGGGTTTAGGGTTTAGGGTTTAGGGCCCAAGATGAGACAATCCCCCGCATTAAAGAGACTCCTAATTTTTTGGAGCCCCCTTGTATCAGGTCGGGGCCGTCGCTTGGCCCTTGGAAGTGTTCTCCAGAAGTCAAACCACCTTGCACCCGAGCTTTAGGGTTTGTAGGGTTTAGTCAGGTTTTGACTTTGGGCATCCCAAATTTGACCACAGGACCATTTTGTTAAGCACCTCGCCCCAATAAAAATTCCCCTCCCCCCTGATCATGGATATTCACTGTACTACAGAAGGGTCATAGGGTCGAGTTGATAAGGCGGAGTGAAGGGGGTTTATCATTAGGGGAGGGATCTGTATGGTAAGGTGGAACCTGGTCTGGAGTAGTTCCTGAATTTGAAGCTGAGGGACCTAGCACACCTGTTAGCCAGTAAGGCTACTAGCAAGCTACTGGTCAAAGTAGCAATGTCTATCCCAATGCTATACGCTGTCGGTCTATGCTTTGTTTACTAAGATTAACCAATAGGTCATAGGATGGTAAGTATGAAGAGAGGCCTTGGAACCTAAAAGGCTTAAACCCTTGGCTCTAAACCCAAAAAGCCTAAACCCTCAACAACAAAAACCCTAAACCCTAACAGAGGAACTGTTAGAACTTAGGTGCTTCCAGCATCACCTGCACCCGTTTCGGCCTCGGGGATCAAGTCATCATTGCCAGTTCCTGGGACGCTCGGCGTGGGGTTAAAGGGTTGGCGGCTTGGGTGCATATACATATATATATACATATATATATATATACGTATATATATATATACAGATATATATATATATATACAGATATAGATATATACATATACAATATACACACATGTGTGTATGGTTTAGGGTTTAGGGATAGGAGGGATGCAAGTGAACTGTAAAACATGGAAAATCAAATCCAAACTGGGTTATGTAGGCTTTTGCAGGGATTCGAATGTAGGGCCCAAAGAATTACCAACAGTATGGCCCTATCACCCTTGTATAGTGGTAGTGGGTACCTCCAACAGGCCTCACAGAGTTCTAGTGGGCACCTCAAAAAGGCCTCAAAATGGTATCGGGAATTATTCAGGCTTCTACAGTACTTACCGGAGGAGTTTGGCAGGATTGCTGGGCAAGGGAGAGTCAAGGGTTTAGACGGGATCAGTTGCAATCTTGGCATCTGCCTTTTCCAGAATGGAACCATGCTGCTTAGAGTTTAGGGACAGCTATGTATGATGAACGCCCTGTACAACATGGCCTTGCTCTATAAGTATCCAAAAGCCCAGAGATTGAAACTTGCTCTGCAGAAAGCGAGGACTCCAGCATCAATCTGTGGGACGTGCGCTCCTACGGCATCCGGCAGCACTATGGTAGAGCACATGGAGGCAACATGCTTTAATGCAGGAGTCTGAATAATTACCAGCATGTTGGTTCTCCAATCCTTGTATCATGATGGTATGCAGTATCTGTGGTCCGTTCAGTACCCAATAATGTTTTAGTATTGGGCAGTAAAACGAGGCAATCAGCGTACACACAACGACTAGGACTTATCTGGTAACAGCGAGTATGGGTGTCGACAGCGACTGTCAACTCATGTGCATTTAGCTCCGGGCGGGTACCGTGTGTCATCACCACCGATGGGTAATGTGCTGCTGCTGCTGCTGCCGCTGCTGCTGCTGCTGCTGCTGCTGCCGCTGCTGCCGCTGCTGCTGCTGCCGCTGCTGCTGCTGCTGCCGCTGCTGCTGCTGCCGCTGCTGCTGCTGCTGCTGCCGCCTCTGCTGCTGCCGCTTCTGGCTGCTGCCGCCTCTGGCTGCCGCCTCTGGCTGCTGCCTGCTGCCTGCTGCCTGCTGCCTGCTGCTGCTGCTCCTGCTGCTGCCTGCTGCCTGCTGCCTGCTGCTGCTGCTCCTGCTGCTGCCTGCTGCCTGCTGCTGCTTGCTGCT